GGAGTCTGTGGTGAATTTCAGTGGACGGGACGTTTTCTCCGAGGAATTTGATCACAATACGTTGTTCCACGCTCCATGGTACCTTCTGTTCACTCATCGCTCTAGCAACTTCCAGACAGGACTGAACAGGTTCTAACCCTAACAGGAGGGAGGGTGGAGGTTGTGGCTTCACTCTCTCAAGGTCGCACAGGTGCTATGCAGTGCGGCCTGTTTACAAAAAAAAAATCAGTCCCAGTCATATTTGAACCACCTAGTATTAAATGACAATTCACATCTAATTCATAGCTAAATGAAGTTCCCATGAAAGTTTGGTATCAAGAAGCCCTAGAAACTTGACAGCTGAAGCAGAAAGCAGAACCCTGCTACTAAGGAAAATATTGGAAGGAGGAAGTAAATCCATGGCACAGTATTATATCAAATCCAAAGAAACGGTTACATTCTCTTTCATTCTATGTAAGATAAATATAAATTACTACCTGTAAAGCAATCAAGGTTCCAAATGCAATGATCCTTTTCTTCATTCCTGGTTTCAACCAACCACATGCCCAGAATACTGTTGCAGGAATTATGAATACTGCACCAATAGCGCGTCCCCACATACGGTGCCCATATTCCATCCACCATATCCACTTGAACTGTTCCAGTGTTATGTTTTTGTTTTTACTGCAACAAAACAGTTCTAATTTTTACCTCCCCCCCCCAAAAAAAGAAGCCAATAGTGAAGACTTTTGAAATAAATTGGAATGGAAATAATGAACATGGCGATCGTTACAATGTTATAATCCATGACTCAGATAATGATGTAACTTACCAACAAGACCTTTAACTTGGTTATTCTTATTGCTGGGTATTAACTGCGAAAAAACTGTTCAGATAGTAAAAACCATGACAATCTGCATTACCCAAAACTACAAAGCTTCTGTCACTCCCCTTCCAGCTTCACATAAACATATATATGCTAATTAATATTTTCTTTATGAAATTCAATGAAAATGAAAATGAAACTGAACAAGCATATATGTGATCAATTACTGTTCTTAACATAGCCAAATTTCCATTATGTTTACAGCAAAGGTAGAGTAGCATTGTGCTCCATGTAATGGCAGTTAGGAGACAGAGATATTCAGATGTTAACAAATCTATGGTCAAGTTCTGACAGCATTTCTCCATGGAGAAAGATCCTGCCATAATAACTACAACATCACAGTATCATTTACAATAAACCAACTAGAAGCAAAGGTTGTATAAATTACAAAATATCTAGATGGGAAATACTTTTGTCTAAGATAAAGATCATCATTTGATGCTGAAACACATAACTTCACCAGCTCAAGAGACCAGACTGGAGATGAGCACATATGGACAATTTTTTCATTCCAGATCTAATAACGAAAAACATTATTTTCTGTCAGTCATAAATAATAATAGGCACATAAATATAAACCTACTGTACTACTTACACTTGAACATGATGGCCTCTTTCAAGACATTTTAAATATGGTTAATGTGCAGAATAATCTGGGGGGAAGAGGGACATGATGAAAAGTAATGCCTATTTCTTCCCATAAAGGGATACATATTTCACTGAAACAAAAAGTGGTATTCTTATAACTTCATTCTGTGATTTTACACAGTTATGCAGCATAATCATCTCTGCAGTTCACACACTTCTGCCAATTCTCAGGTACCTAAACTGAGCCCACCACGAAAGAGCTTTGCACCTTGTTGACATATCCACATCTTCATTGCCATTCTGACTTCAATGTCTGACAAGTAGTGATGTCCTCTCAGGCTCTCAGACATTCCTTCAGTTCTGGGCTTTATATGAGGGGCGGTCAAAGACAATGACATTAAAGCAGTATATCTTTGTAGCTGTTTGTACCCCTATGTGAGGCTTTGCCATCTCATGTGAGAGGAGAACCTGCTGTACACATTAACCTTGTTGGTTGCTGTTCATGGTCTCCCATTATGCTGCCTAACATTCAGGCTGGTATGTCTGTGATTTGTAATGTGGACCAGTGCAGACCACTGTCAAATAGTACAGATATCTACACAACTATCCTTGTAAACAACTTTCAATCATCAATGAATGTCAATTGGTGGAACGCTTTTGCAGGCAAAACTTGAACACTGCATGCAATTTATAAAATAAAAGTAAGGATGTCCCTGTGCTTAACTAATTAAGCACTATGCCATGAAGGCCCATGGGGAGCAGATGTATAGATCCACATTTTCTTTAGCTCAGCACTAGTTGGAAGTGAGTGGTCACCTTCACCTTACCCCCAGTGAAAAAGCCTCCATTACTCTCTGGCCAGGAAGCTCGATGGGCCCCAGAACCAGTCTGGATGACATGGAGAAGAGAAAATTCTTGACCCTACCGGACTTGAATCCCAGCCCCCTGGTCCCATTTATTCTACACTGAAAATGTATTCTCACACTGCAGCATTTTTACAGCTGCAATTCAGAGAGCTGCAGTGGCAGAACTATAAAACTTCATATAAAACTGCAGAAGAGTTTAACTGAATTAGTGCAATTTGATTCACATCATTATGTGTGTACAAAACAAACTGAATCATTGCTCTTCACCATGCCCCTGTATGATAAGATGAGAATGACAACCACGCTATCAGCCATATCCCCTCCCCCACATTAATCATGCATGCACATACAAGATATGAATTTTTAATGAATTAATATTTCTTAAAGAAAATTAGTTTGGGCCAAACTTATTGTTCTCTTGTACTTTGTATTTAAAAACTGTGCAAAATTTACCCCCAATTTCTGTATGGTAAAATTCATGGTCCATATTATGAACTTTACAGTCATGCCTTAGAATTTTTGTAAGAACATAATGCATTGCATGTTCAATATTAATCATTCTTGAGCACACTAGCTAACTACTCGTACATGGAGCAGACAGTCGTTCACCTTGTCAACAAATCAGCCTTTTATGAACTCAGAATGTTCATGACTACATTCACACAGCCTCACCACTGGACTAAACTCTGAGCCAGTTGAATCCAGTCAACATAGTCACCTTATTTTTCTAGAAGTCCACATATGTACTTAAACACACACACAGCTATGGAACATGATATACTCGTAAACCTCAGAAAGCTTAAGCAAACATGACGGTTAAATTTACTCTAATGCTGCTTCACTCCTTCTTGGTATGATGTAAGTCGATATCCCAAAAATGTCACTCACATTCTAAATTCTGGATACTGCTGGTATTTTTGGAACTCATCCTCCCATTCCAATTTTGTGAAAGGGACCTTTTCACCAAACAGTTTCCATGTGACCATTGAAAGTCCAGATTCAGTCAATCTAGTAACACCACCTTCAATGACAGAAAACCTAATGTGACTTAAGAAAATCAAAATTAATGCTTTATGAAAAATTAGCACATTTCCTTGTTTAGACAAATTGTTTTTAGACTTTTGTCCTGTCTTCCAAATTTCACACCCATTCAAGTAAAGGCCACTTGTGAATACTTCAGACAGCACTTACAAAAATCTACTGAAACACTCATTGCCATCTGTTTTGTCATTACACTATATGGAGCTTCTTTTTTCGTGTAAGATAAAGTTGTACATAACTTAAAATAACAAATCAGTGCTAACAGGAAACAAGACATCACAGCTGATACACACAACATTCTAATATAAAGCAGAATGAGAAAGAAACTACTGAAATAGTGTAACAAATCTCAAACTTCTATAATAAGTAACTGAATTTGACCAGCACAGATGATGGGCTCCAACTGTTTCCTCCAACCCTCACCTGTGCAATTCCCAGCTAAACCCTTCAGAATAACTGGCTTCTGAACATCATCAAAGATGCTGTAACATCTCAACTACACAACTGGAAGGAACCATAAAAAAAAAAACAAGAGCAGCAGAACCCAAATAGCTGTTTCTGTCAAGCTGGTTTACACTCAAGACATACAAAAGATCTGTCATTATTCTTTTGTGCTGTCAAATTCATTGTAAATTTGTGTAATCCTACATACCATGGTTTACAAACCCTAACGCTCGCATGACAAAAAAACATCACTTATTCAAATCAGCGGATACTAAGCAAGCTGTTTCATGTGGTAATGCTTATGATATATGAAAAGCCCACTCTGAATCTCAGCTGGGATCCAGACTATCCTGACTGAGGACTTTTGTGGTTTTCTTCGGCATTCCAGATGAATGCTGAGACAGTACCTTGAAACAGACCATAAGCACTTCTTGCCACAGCCTTTCCACTTCAATATTCATTAATCATCTTACACACAGTCTGAGCTACAGACACTGAAAATAATAAATAAATGAATACAGATACCTTGGATTTATTTAATGATGGAACATGATGGAAATAAGAGCAGTAAAGAATATATGTTATGCCCTAACTTCTATGTTGACTCCAGAAGATCCAAAAACAGGAGTAATGAGCTGAACCTCAAATTGCAGTTTCATATGGTTTCAGTGTAAAAGATGCAGTCAGATAACTGCAATTTCTCCACATGGTATTCAATACAGCACTATGTGCAAAACATGAACTAACAGACAACTAAATCCAAAACACATGAAAATATATTCAAAATCTGAAAAGAAATAAGATATAATCTTTTTTGTTGTGGTCCATCAATGTTTTAAAAGAATGTATCACCACCATCTTCACGACCATGGAGTAAGACAAGGAAGAAACAAGTAATAAGTATACAGCAAGTAGGGCATTCTGCTTGCCTCCTGCTCATTATTTGCTTCTTACTTGGCTATGCTTCGTCTACTTATTGCTCATTTCCTGTTTGGCTCACTCTTTGACCCTGAAGATGGAGGTGACACATTCCTCCAAAATGTTGATGACCCTCTACTGAACTATACAGCATTATAACCCACAAGATAACTCTTCATAGTCACCACTGTGAGCACCTCAATAAAAAGAAATGTTGGCAAAATGTTCACAAATCAAGAACATTATAGAACAATTAAAGTGATTAGTAAAATCTGCTAATTTCTCCAGAACATTGGCAAACCTGTCCATGATAATCATGTCTTCACGCAAAAATGAGAAACATAAACGTCACTACAAAATAAGTTCTTCAGTACCGTATAAATGGCTCTAGAATTTGTTTCAAAACACTGGAAGTCAGAGCTGCTCGGTCCTATTCATATTTTAAGGGGTAAACAAAATAAGATATCATCAGAGGACAAAAGGAACATGCTGCTGGCACAGATAGTTAAGAAAGCAGTTACTATATCACATCAGCCTTCAAATGCAGGTGTGACAAGTGTAGATAAAGTTGTCCTTGTGCCTAAATACCACACCATCAAGTCATATTATTAAACTCAACATTAGGTGAAGGTGAGTAGTCAGCTTTATGTTCTAGAAAATTTAACCCTGGCATAACATCAAACAGGAGTTTGGGTAGGCCAAGAGCTACCCTGGGTGTGATGGCAAGGACAGTAAAACCTTGCTACTACTAGGAAACAAATCCTGATCATCCAGCCTACAGCTTCACTTTACTAAGCTATTCCCTCTCTACCATAGGGGTGACAGAGATATAAAATTGTGTGTGCACGTGTGACTCAATCAGTTATGATTTAAAGAGTTCCTTGGTCAAAGTGTCAAACTGACATGCTGGTACACTTACTTTCGGGGATGTAACACAAAGCTCCATCTGTTCAGATATGTAGTGTAGATAAAAGGTAAGGGACCTGGATGATGCAGGTTTCAGGAATATGAAAGTCAACCACAAGTACAACTTTGTCAAGCTGGCAACTTGTGTGCACATTCAAAATGTTGAGTGCATGTAGAAATTGGATAAATCGTGCAAACAGAAGCACCAGGGCACCATGCAGGACCATCTGGAGTGTTTCTTTTCCAACTTTATGTGGCAGAGTGAAATCAAGGATCAAACAATATTGGGGAAGGAAATTAAAATGAACTTCTCTTATCCATTTCTTTTTCCTGAATACACTTTGTAAAAAGAGGCACATAAATTGGCCATAAAATTCTTTGAGGGCACCCATTAATATAAGTACCAAAAAATAAAATAGCCTACCTGTTAATAAGTCACATAAAGAAAACTACTTCCTAATCTGAGCACTATATTGTCCTTTTAGTTCAAAAACAGTAAAGTTACCTAAAACAACTGCACCAAACACCATACCACTGCATCCAAGCAGCCAATAGCCAACAACTTTTCTTGATGAAGGTGTTATACCTTTACGTGTACTCAATGTTACTGTCGTAGTGCCTCGTAAGCCTGTAATAGCCTGGAAAACATGAAGTTTTAATATTTACTTCCATGAAGGATATTCTCTTCTAGGCTGTGATGCTGTGTAGTTGGGTAGATCATTACACATATCAGGAGGATTGTGTTGCCTTCATCTTCAGCTAGAGGAGTCTCGTCTACACTAGACATGTAGACAGCATATTCCTCCAAATTTTCAGTTATGACCTATCTTACTACACAGCAACACATTTAAGAAGTTGGCAAACTTCACTCACCACAGTGACAACCCCAAATTTCACCTTTTAGCCTACTTTCATTATTTTGAAACAAACTGTTCTGGTAAGAACTAATCACCTACTTTCCTTTGATATGACACAGCCTGCATAGAAAATGATGCCTCCAACTATTCTTCATTGCTGTGGTAACGTGTTCGTTGAGCCGCTGCCTAGTAATTACAGAGGGATACACAGTCCAGGCCAGTAAATTGATGCTGGCCCTCACCAGTACAGCAATTCTTCATTCCAAGTCCCATGGGATTCATGACCATGTTATACTGTCTGCTGGCTTTGAGAGCCTTCAGACTACCACTTTAGCAGTACATACACTAAAACTGGGGATACACAGACAGGTCCACAGACTCTCCTTTGATACATCATGGACCATATAGAAAATGTGTCCAACAATTCTTCTATTGTTGTATGTATTCACTGCCATGGGAACATGTTTACCAACTGTTGCCTAGCAATGAAAGGGGAGATACAGACACACAGACTGAGGGGAGGGATTTATGAAGTATGCCATTGAGATGGGCTCAGGAGCCATGATATACATACAAAGTTTCATAAAGACTGGTTAAGACATCCAAAAGTTGATAAAGGAGGATACAGAAACACACAGATCACAGACAGCTAAGTGACCTCATAAGCCACTTTCATTTTTTCAAAATAAAAAAGTAGGCTAAAAATAAAAGGAGGTATATGAGCTCCTGAAAGTTGGAATAGTGGAGTCCTGTGTGCCTCTATGTGTATCCCCCTTATTGCTTCCAGGCAATGGTTCAGTAACTGAATTTTGTACATGTTGTTTTTTCTATGTAGTGAGTGCCACATCAAATGAAAGTAGGTGAATAGTTCCTCCCAGAACTTATTATTATTCTTAAATTCTAAATACAATTCTAACCTGGTAATTTTAATGAGAAGGAAAATGAGAGGATTATTTTCACATCTATCTAATATTTTACAATTTGGTTGTGTCATTTTCTGTGTCAAAATGCCACATGTGAGTTACACATCTGGTTGAACAAATGTTCTTGTGTAAGGAATACACAGAAAAGATTCTGGCATAAATCTCAGGATGTGACAGTTGAAAATAGGAAAAAAAAAACTATTCACTGACTCATACATAAATTCAAACAGACAGGACTGTTATTTGATTAAAAAAAAAAGAACTAAATAAACATGCTGAGTGCTCACTGAAGAGAAACTGGAAGAAATTAATGCTAAGACTGAACAGTCCCTCAAAAATCTATTAACCTTGAGCAGGAGATCAGGGTTCAAAGCTTCGAATTTCCTCTGTTTCTGAAGAGGGACTTAGCATGTCAATATCAATATATTATGACAGTGCAAGAAATATGTGCGTAATAAAAGTGACCATTTCTGACCTCTGCCCTGATCTGGATGGGGTTTGTTTGTGATTTCTTGGTGTATGGGTTTGTCAACTGCACTGCAGGTCTGAATATGCATGATAAGAAGAGTACTATCTTCCGGGACATTACATTGTGTAGTCCGTGGAAACTAAACCAATGTTTTAGGGGAACATATCACCCCCATCTTCCAGGTTAAAGAATAAACTGAGCAAGACAGCAGCATGAAAGCAGCTCTGCTTGCCACCTGCTTTCATTCTGGTACCTTGCTCTGCTTAATCTTCGACCTTGAATATGAAGGCAATATTCTCCTCTGAAATGTCGGCAGGACTACATGGCATTATATCCCTTCATAATCACCACTGTGAGAAATTCAAATCATACATGCATGACAAGTGTTGACATGAGAAGCATGTCTCTTTTCCACAGGACTACACAAACATTT